GGCTTTGGTGGGCACCTGGCATTTTAGCCAGAGTCAACCCACCACATATTCTTTCAAAATGATCTGAGTTTGTTCACCTTGTAGAATTTTCTTGTTGACTAGCTGATTCAGTAAATGTTCTTTATTTGAAGTTCTTTATATGTAGCTGTTGGAGAGAGGGAGCCAGCATGTTTGGAACTCTTTGCTCCTCTTGTGGTCACTTGCATGCTAGAGCTGGAATCTCATGTTCTGTAATACACTTTCTTGCACCTTCAGGGATTCATGTAGATTTTCTGTAGTGTACTATCACCGTAACTTCTAGGTCAAGTGAAGCTGGAATAGTTGTTCATGAAAAGAAGTTGATTTGGAGGCAAGTTAATATTGAATAGTTAAAACCAAGGGGGTTTTGAGCTGGTTTATGTTTCAGAGAACATGAAATCCAAAAGATCTGACAGTGGGAGTTGTAGGTAAAGATGGGACCTTAGCTTCTTGCACAAAAATGTTGATTTTTCTTCTTTATATTGGTATGCCAAATAAATCAGCCTGTCATTCAAAATACAGTAGTCTGGTGTGTCAAGTTAGGACTACGGCTGCTAAATTTGTATGTCAGAGGTTGCAATATGATAAGTAGGTACCTTTGCAAGTACCATGTCCCCCGACATGCAAGTATTGCTAAAGTAGATAATGTCTGGATGTCTAAAATTATTAATAGATCATGTGGCTTTTCTCACTCTTTCTTATGCAGTTAACCCAGCTGTAATACCATTAGATGGAAAACAGCGTTAACTTTAGATAAAATTTGCTCAACTATGTGCGTACAGAGACAGTCCCTTAGTTAATAATGCATTTTGTCACACAATATTGCTCTGTCAACCAGGCTTCTGTTAAAAATTAGGTCTTATTTATAAAAAGCAGTCTGATATATGCTGTATGAAATAGGAAAATGCAGTATATCAAGTGTTTTTGTAGAAATGTGTAAGTATTTTTCACTATGTGTGTATTTCGTATTTCACTGAAGATGATGTCTGTAATAGAGACTTATGGTCGATTTTGTTTTTTGTTTTTATGTAGCAATGCACTGATGTTCATATGGTTAGTGACAGTGATGGAGATGACTTTGAAGATGCTACAGAGTTCGGAGTTGATGATGGAGAAATGTTTGGAGTAGCATCATCTGCCTTGAGGAAATCACCAATGAGTAAGAGTTGACAGTTAATTACATAAATTGGTGATTGTACAATTAACTGGTGACTGTACAGCAGCAGTGAGGGCAAAGAGATATGATGGATCTGCATAATAAGAAACTGGAGAGTATCTTTTGGTAGGAGTGTTAGAATTGTTTGAGTGTCATGTCTGATGGATGTATCAAATGAAAATAAGGGAAGCATAATTGGCAACTGGGAAAGCGTCTCCCTGTGGAGGAAGCTTTTTAACCTTATATTTTTAGCTTATAATTGAAGAATAATAATTAAACTTGGAGAAATTGTGCTGTCCAACCAAGTGTTCCTGTAGATAACTAGATTTCTGCTTCCCTGTTTTGAAAATTCTATGTATTTTAGCCTTTATTTACTTTAGTCTTGCGTTAGTGTTATTACGTTAGAAGTTTTTGACAGCAGATATACGTAATAATAGGGAAAACTCTTTAACATTATGTATAAGAAGTTTAAAAAGAAAGAAAGAAAGAAAAAGAAAAGTAACCAGCAATATAGTGGGTCAAGCCTTTCAAGCCAGTCCTTTTGTTTTAATGTATCAAAGTAAGTCCAGAGTGTTAACTCTGAACAAGTGATATATCACATTACACTGGACCTGAAGATTTTACTGTTTGGAAAGCCTGAATATATTCCTGAGAGCGTTGGGAAATTTCATGTCTTCCAAAGGTTCATAGTCGATAGTCTTTCATGACTTCAGTAAGCTGTCAATATTTAAAAAAAAAAAAAAAAAAAAATCTATGAAGCAAGTGAATTTGCATATTAATATCTGTTTCCGTAAGGTTGCATTTAATTTATATTTTTCATTTTTTTAAGTGCCAGAAAATGCTGAAAATGAAGGAGATGCCTTATTACAATTTACAGCAGAGTTTTCTTCAAGGTAAGCTTAGCCTATTAGCTGTGCAGTTCTTGCTACAAACTAAGTAAAATTTAGTAAATAATGGAAAAAATAAATCAAACATACGTATTTTCTTGTGGGATCATAGCATATTTAGACATCCTAGTCTAATTTATTTTAACTTTGTTAGATCTGTTTCTGAAATAAAATTACTTCTCAGTGCAAGTTAGTGACAGATTCTTGCCTTATTTAATTTACCACTAAATAATGTCCTCACTTAATTATGTAAGGGTCCAGAAGGATGATAAAGGCTCTGATTATATGTAGTAATTTTAATATGATACACAGAAACAGAAAAGCTGAAACCGATTAATATTGAAAAATATATGTAGAGTTGCAATAAGAGTTTTCACAGTAATGAAATGGTTAGATAAGTCCCTACTTCGAAAAGATATAGAAATGCTGGTTTTTTAAAAACTTAATACCACCAAATGCTACATTGTTAAACAGCTGCCATGTTTCATCAAACAGGTAGAAGCTGCAAACTAATATACTGCAAAGTAACACAAAGTTTATACGCCTTCTGTTTTCACTCCTCTGTGATGGAATGTTCGTTTATATATATGAGATGCATTAATGTGCAATATAAGAATAGCTTTCAATTAACCTTTAAGAATATAATAAAGAGATGAAATAATTTATGATTTTAAAATTATATAGAACTGAATGTGTTTATGTATGTAAACAGAAAGTTTTTATGACAAAATTTGTAAGGTAGTAGTTAGTTTGAGCTTTTGAATGTTGGGAGACAGATGGCTTCTAAATATTTCCCTTCTGTCCTTTAAAAATGTAGTACTTCACCTTCCTAAAGGTTTAGCCAATGCATTGTAATTACAGAATATATGAAGAGGTAAAATTACTTATTTTTATAATTTGTTGATTAATTTGAAATTTTATCTCAAATAGATATGGTGACTGCCATCCTGTTTATTTTATTGGATCATTAGAGGCTGCTTTTCAAGAAGCCTTCTATGGGAAAGCTAGAGATGTAAGTGTGTATTAAAACTACTTTATTTAATATAGGGAGAGAATGGAAATCACTGTAAGTGTTTCACCTGTATTTTAAAAATGGTAAACTACATTTTGGAGTTATCTTGGTTTTATCGTTTGTGAAGAGTTATACTCATTTAGTTGACTGACTAAAGTACTCGGTTGTTGTTGCAAATACAGTGAATAACTCATGCTTCCTAATCGTTCAGGCTGTATTTTTATTGGAGTCCTTTAGTCCTCAGAGCTACTCTTTTTCTTCTTTCCCCCACCCTCCCTTTTCTTCCTGGAATAATGGTGTCCAAGCACCAGATAACACTGACTGTGAGTCTTGTGGTTGACAAGTTCAACGATGCATGTTGGTAACTCCTTTGAAGGATGGCTAATGAAATTGTAAATTTAAGTTGAAAGGCCTCTGAAATACAGTGTGCTTTTTTTTTCTTTGTACAGCCTTTATCTGCCAAGTAAATTCCAGTACTAAGGTTTGGTTATTTAGTTTTCCTGTATGTCCAGTCAGACATCTCAAGTTTCTGTTATTCCATGCACAGTTTTAAAATCAATATTTTAATAAAATTAGAACGGGGATAGTTTATTTAAGTTTTGGTGACTTGACTCACTGAGGAGAAACCCAAACCCTTGCGTAATTAAGCATAGATAAAGCTGAAACACAAACAAGAAAATCATGCTGTTTAAATTTACTTTTTGTTGTCTTGATAGACATTTAATTTTAAAATGAAGAATGTTTTGGCTTCCTGTAGTTATTCATATTGGAAGGAACAGCTATGCAATGTTAGGGGCTGTTCTGGTAAGCGCAGGGTTATCCATCTACACTGTATAGCTGAAGTTAACACATGTTCTGTGCACACACAAGTTTAGTGAATATTTTCGCGTCTTTGTGCAGATTTCAGAGCATAAATGGATACATAATAATTCAGTGGGAAAGTATTAGTTTGTAATAACTCATTAAAGTGGACCTTAGTGCATGTTTAAAAGAAATCATACTAATTCAACAAGAAAAATGTTTGAGTTAGGAAGTTCACTTTGTGTCATTTCATCAGAAATGGGGGACAGCAGATCAGTGTAAGAATGGATGAGAGCTCATTAGGAGCTTTCATAAATATTTTTTATACCTATAAATCTGATACTAATGCAGTGCAGTTACTTAGTTTTTTAATACTCAAAGTACTTCTTATGCTACTTACATAGCACATCTGAAATTCATGTCACCTTACGTTTCTAATATTTTCGCAATGTATTCAGACCAGATCCTCATCAGGATAAAATTAAAGATTTAGGAAAGTATTATTTTTGTGGCTTTCTTCTTTATTTTTTTTCCAAATGTTGCCTTAAATTTTTGAAAGCTTCCTCCCCCACCAGCTGCCCTGTGGAATGACATTATTTTTATTGTAACATTCTGACTTTAAACAAAGATATAAAAATGTATAAATACCACTTATTTTTACTATTTTTTTTCTGTTACAAACAAATTTTTTCAGTACTGTGTCCTGGAATGCATAATTGAGGAAAGGGATACATTATTTTATATTTTTATAATTGCATTTCATAAAATAATTCAATATGTATATCAGTAAAAGTAAAAGGCTTAGGAAAAATTGCAACCTGTATGTCTTGTCTTCTAATTTATACTATGGAGGGCACTTAATTTTACCAGGGCAACAGATGAGCTTCAGGCACCAGCATTCTTCACTTGAAGTGAGAAATTGAGTTCCAAGAGTAAATAAAAACAAGATTGAAGGTTTAAATCCTCTGCTAGGCTTTTTGAACTTATATACTCATTAAATGTTTATTGGAGTGGTGGGATTACGAAGGATTTGGGTAGCTTCATCAACTGGTATATACTTAATCACTAAGTAAAACACTACATTTGATAGAGTGTTTCTCACGATGCCACACTCAATCCATCTTAATGAAAACCGCTTCAAACTGATTTAATTTGAGAGCACTTGGCAGCTTGAGTGCTCAGAGATCTTAGCCTTTTCTTGACAAATTCTCAACGCTGTCCAGAGCAGAAGGTGCACTCTACAGTTCAGGTCTAGTGAGGCAACCATCAGCTACGTTTTTAATCTATATTGTGGATACTTTTTTCCCTCCCATTATATATGAACTTGAAGCCTTTTTGCAGAAATATTTTAATTTGGGTTGTTTTAAGATAATTACCTTATGTCAGAATATGTGTTTTAAACACAGATTATGGGTTAAAATTCTTTTCAAGAAAATAGATGTTGTTCTGTTAAAGCTTCATGTCTTTTCATGTGTTGGAAAGGATGGTAATTCACAGTTGTTTAAGAAAATGTAACTTGTAAAAGAAATACTGTGTAAAAAAATATTAAATGGTTGTCTGTTACCTATGTTTTGTTTAGCTTTTATTATCATAGCTTTTCCTTTCAAGTTTTCAGATAGTTAACATACATAATGGGTATCTCATTTTCCATTAGAGCAACTGCTACCATGATAAGTGCCAGTTTTAGGCAGGAGAGTTGGAATAAGGTCAAATGTAGCTCTACTTTAAAACCTGTATATCTCTTTAGCACAAAAGTACAATAGCTAAGATAGAGAGGTTTGCCTCAACAAGCAGTGTCCTTGGCAATGAAATCCCCAGTTACCGCCTGCAGCCTAATAGTTAGGGGCTTTGTGGATTCATTTCCAAGGCTTATTGTATATATAACACAAGGAAAAAAAAATTTTTTAATTAGGTCAGGAAGAGAAAGAGAGACAGATGTTTATTAAATTAACAAATAAGTTGTTCTTTTGTGAAAGGATTCCTCTACTTATTGTGCCAATTGGAAAGAAGCGTCTCTCTGTTACATTAGTTTATGAAGCACAGATTTACTTTTGCTCAAGTAGCTATGCTATCATAGAAATTGCTAGACCTGATGCCATGGAAGAAATCTTATAATGGACAGTTTTAAACAAGATGTTTGGGGGAGGTTTCTTTGCAACTGAAAGCAGTTTGTGGGTGCCTTGTGTTCTCAAACATCAGGGGGTTTATCCTAACTTAGGACAGTATTGTTATTAATACAAGATCTTAATCTCTATATTGAATCTCACTGAGCTATTTACTTTAATAATACTAAAGTATTTTCTTTTATTGAAGCTTGCTTGCCTTTTCATTTTTATAGGTGGTTTCTACTCTTTTATTATAAGAATAAAGACATCTGGTTTACCTTTTCGGGAGCTCTTATCTTTATATACCTCAGTCAGAACACCTCCTGCTCCTCTCTCAACCTTTCTGTCCACTGACTTTTAATAAATGTGTGAAACATCTCTCTTAGCACAGATTGTTATTATCACCTCAATGTATATTGCTGCATACTGAAAATGAACCATGTTTTTCTTCCTCTTGAATTCTGTATTTTAGGTTCAATTTAGTGGCAGCACCATCCCTCTCACATATGGGTACTTTACTGAACCCCTGGAAGAAAGTACGCTTCTTCTGTGATTTGGCATGTTCAAATAAAAGCTTTTTTTTTTCCTGGCGGTAGCAGAATATTCCTTCATACAGGGCTTTCTGTAGGATCATTTTTATCTGTGTAACTCAGAAAACTGTCCTGCATCATTATTTTAGCTATTCATGCAGAACTTAAAACAGAAAAAAGATTCACGGAGATAATTATTCTGATTTCTGTTAGAGCACATTATAGACACAGCGTTGGCTGCTCTCTAGTCTTATTGTCTCAGAAGAGAAATTTGAAGGCTGTCTTTTAGATGTTGCCTCATATAGAGAGAGGTTCCGAATCCCAGTTGCAGGACAGCTTTTTGGTTTAGTCTTTGTTATCTTTTTTCCCCCATTTATTCCCTAAATATTGTTGGGCAATGTCGAGGAGTACAGCTGCAACATCACCTTTTACTTTGACTCCAGGCATATTTCAAATTCAAGTCAAATTGCTACTCCTACATTTTATAAGGGGCTTTATCATATTGTGTGTCCTAGGTATGCTTTGAAAATGCATCTGTAGTTGAGCTGTCTCAGGATCCTGGATGGAGAAATTACTACTTTGCAGGCTCCATTTATCCTGAACACTAATCTACATGGTCTGGTTGAATCTGTAGAGAACAGGTATAGAGGTATAACCCTAGGTTCCCCGGGGAGAGTAAAGCAGCTACGCTATGGCTGATGTCAGTACATAAATTCCAGTTAAGTCCTGTGTTAGTCACCTACATTTTCTTTGCAGTCCTGTCTGATGTGTGTGTTAGCAGTCTGTCCTTTCATTCTTAAATTAATTCTGAACTTTTGGATATTTTTTTTTTCTATAAATTTTTGCTAAAACATACCAGTTTAGTAGTCTCACTGTGTGCCTACACACCCTTTATTCTGCTTCATCTTTCACATCTGAAAGATTAGTCCTGGGTATGGGTCTCTCTTCAGCATTCTCTGTACTTGATATTAAATAATGAAAGTTTATTGAAATTGTCTGCCACACTCTACATTTCCTCCTTTTTTCAAAGCCTATGATTTGTAGATCTTATTTGAGTTGTTTTAATTACTGGATATTCTTTTCATTGTGTAAGACATCACTACAAGTTGAATTTACTGAAACAGAGATACAGCAGTATAATAGGATCAAATATTTGGAAGACGAAAGTAGATTAAATCAAGCTTAAAATAAAACACAGCTTTACCTGGGAGGGTAGTTAGCCATTTGAGCAGCTTACTGTGGTTCATACAGATTCTCTGTCACTGATGTTTTTTTGAGACTAGATGTTTTACTGAAAGATTAAATTATGAGTTAGTTTAGGGATGTCTTATGTCATGTATGATACAGAAGATCAGATCAGAAGATTTCATAGAATCATAGAATGGTTTGGGTTGGAAGGTGCATCAAAGATCATCTAGTTGCACTCGCCCTGCCATGGCAGGGACACCTCCCACTAGACCAGGTCGCTCAAAGCTCCATCCAACCTGGTCTTGAACACTTCCAGGGATGGAGCATCCACAACTTCCTTAGGCAACCTGTTCCAGTGTCTCACCACCCTCAGGGTGACGAACTTCTTCCTTGTATCTAGTCTAAACCTGCCCTCTCCCAGCTTCCAACCATTACCTCTCGTCCTGTCACTGCAGGCCTTTGTAAAAAGTCCCTCCCCAGCCTTCTTGTAGGCCTCACTCTCACTTTAGGAACCTGTGGGCTACAGTTTAGTTCAGATCACCTTGGTATTAGAGAAGATTTGCAGTCTGCTTAGGGAAAAAAGATTGTGCATGATAGAGTAGCTGTGTCCAAAAAGGCTAATCATATGATCTCCAAGATCATCTTAGAGAGGTGGATCAAATTGTATACTTCAAAGGCTTAAATATGTACAAATGTGTCCCTTTGTTCATTTAAATTGGCTTTCACTGCATAAAACCTGGAGGAAAAATTAAGATCTTGGTTCATTAGTCTACCACTGGATATTTTTTTTTTTTTTTTAGTGGTTAAGATTTTATGCTGAGTATATAACCCCTGACTCATTGTATTTTTGAGAAATCCAAGCCAGAACAGACTAGTGCTCTATTAGTAGGCTGTTTCTATGGAAGTTCAGACTGTTCAACAGTTTAGTCAGCCTATTTGATTAGTATTGACTAAAAAATTCCCAGTATTAGTCATCACAGAATCCTAGAATTTACACTGATTTTTCAAAGGCTTGAAATAAACCCAACAAAAACCTACTTATAAATACGTACTACCATGGGTTAGTAAAAAAACCAAAACACAAACCACGCAACAACAGCAACAACAACAAACTCCAAGCCATGAGCCTTTTGCAGTAATGCATTTTTCTGAGGGGAAATTGTCCCTGGCTTCCACTAAGATTTTTCAAAATAGTGTTTTAGACTTCACTTCCTCCTGCTACCTCTTTTCGTTTGTCCTAGCAGTGTGCCTATGCCCGACCTTAACATTTTGGATGAAATGTCAGACACAAGTACCGTCTTTTATATGTGATAGAGTTTAGTCTTTGCATGGCAAGATTTGTTGATGCAACAAAAATTACATTCACTTGTAAAGTACCTCAGTGTAAACAGCTATTGTGTATGTGCCTGTTCTGTTTACTAAAATTTGTCCCTAAATCTTTAAGCCTAAAACTGTACATATTTTGAAACATTCCGTTGTATGGAAACTCATATTTAACAGTTTCATGGGGCTGTTTCTTTGGAAGTAAAAGTGTTTCTCAAGAGCCTTTTTTTTCTATCCGCTACCAGTGAAAAGAGGAGAGCAAAGCCATCCGCTTACCACAAAGCAGTGCCACCACAAAGGAAAGATTAAGGGTTTAGAGAGAGGTCAATGTGGGTTTTTCTCTAACTAAACACTTTCCTAAAGTTTCCTTGTGGAAAAAATAATGAAGTCATCTCAGAGTTTTTAAAGAATTTTTATTTCTTTTTCACCGTCTGCATTCGCTTGTCTTCTCAGCATGGATGTTTAATCTTTCTAGGCTTTGTGAATTGGTCCAAATGAATAAGTGGTGAGCTGTCTCTCTAGGAGCTAGAGGCTTATTCTAAGGCCCTAATCACTGAGTAAACACATCTTTGCCCTCCCTCTCTTACAACTGCTATATAATAGTTGAGATTCTAGCACAGTAACCTGGATATTGCAGGGATCGACGCTTTGAAATGCAGAATGGCTGATCCTCAAAAACAGACAGTGCCTGATCTTCCCCTGCCTCTTTCTTCTTTTTAAATTAAATATCACCACAGAAATGCTGTTTTATTGCTTGATATTGTGCATCAGTGCCCTGGATTTTCAAGTTTAGTTTCAGTCAACATTGTTGGCTGCGCTTATATGGATCTCTGCATGTTGGTCTTATTAATGGCTCTTTCTGGCACATGCGTATGTGGTTCTGAAGAACATTTAAATTAAATTAGGCAAACATTAATGCAAATTACTAATCCCTTTCCCAAAGTCTAATGTTCAAATGTATTCTTCTTTTTATAAACAGTCATTAAGTTTTACCCAAAGCCAGTATATGAGGTGATATCCATACAGGTTTTTCACAAAGACAGCTTGTCTCAAAATTGCATCCCATGTCTTGCTATATCAATACACATCACTATCTAGTGTTCAGTGTTGTTTCTGATGAAGAGGTTTGAAGTGACTTTAATAGAAGTCTGAAAATAGCATTTATCATATCGTCTCAGCAAACATGTTCAAGTAGGATTTTAGAATAGAGTAATATATATGGATATGGGGGAAAGGAAAGTTGTAGTTTTCTGAATGGTATTTATAATTCATTGAATACCAGAAATAGGTCAGGGTCCTTAACTAGCTCACAGTTTCCCTGTATTTTTCTTAGTCTGCTGTCTATATTTACCTACATATAGACTCACTTTCCAAAAGGTGGTCTGAGATCCTGGGGACACAGCACAGCTCTATGCTGCTGGCAGTGAAGCTCAAATATTACTCGACAAGGTTTCAGAACTTGACACAGAATATTGTTTCAAGAGGCAACAAACACCATCCTCAACACCTAGTCTTTGCTAACGTGGTAACTATGATGAGGTATATCAGCGCTCACAAACTCAATGTGAGATTCGATCCATGTGTTCCCTACTCCTTCCCTTGCATCTTTCATATTCGCAGTGCTGGGGCGGCTACCTTGCTCCTCAGCTCCATGAGAGACATAGCCAGCTGGGCTGACACATGGCCTTTTGACCAGCTACATGTTGACTTACAAAGTCCATGAGAGGCTGGTGTGCTGTAGGCCTCCCCACATCACATGGCTGGATGGAGACCTGCCAAAACATCCAGCATGTAGCATCGCAGGCTTTGGGACTGTAGCAACTGTATTGTTACTTACTGATTTTCCTCTATTTGGCCACAGATAGGGTGATAACAATACTGTATCATTTTTTCAGATTGTTTATAATTGTTTTGTATTGTAGATGCTGTTGTATCAAGAGGTGTGTTCCTTGCTCAGGGAATTGTTCCGAATGTTATCTTTAATGGGCAGCAAGCCAAAAAAGTTCACTCATTTCTTAAGCTAAGTCTGTTAATAAGGTTTTTGTTTTTCATTGAAATGTTGTTATTTTCATTTTCTAAGTATATAATAAATATATCATGTTTTGGTACCCGAAATAAAATATTGGGAAGCATTGAGAATATTTACAGATTTGGAGGGATGGACCATTTGACTTGAAATCTACTGGGTTTTTTTCCCTGTGTGTGCACATTGAGGTATTCGGCACCCTCCGTAAACACCATAGGGTGTACTAACACACAAATCTGCAGCAGTAATTTAAAATTACTAAATCATCTGAGGAAATTTTCACTAATCTTTTCTCATGTCTTTTCAGAGAAAGCTTCTTGCTATCTACCTCCACCATGACGAAAGCGTACTAACCAATGTCTTCTGCTCACAAATGCTTTGTGCTGAATCTATTGTCTCCTATCTGAGTCAGAACTTCATAACCTGGGCATGGGACATGACAAAAGAAGCAAACAGAGCAAGGTAAGACTCTTTGGACTGGAGCAGCTTTTCTCTCAAGGAAGACACTTATCTCTGTATGAAATCTTTTGTTACTTGATTTCTATTTGAACTAAAAACTTCATGCTCATTCTTAGCTGATCAGCGAAGCTGGGCTGGGTGACATTCACTCAAAATTGGACCGTCCTTGTTTTCATTACAAAGTGACTTCTTACTCCTGTGCAGGAAAAAATAGTTGAAGAAATTATTTCCTTCTTTTTTTTTAGTTTATTTTGCAAACATAGTTCTAGGAACATGTCTTCACAGTTTTGCATTGCAGTGCCATAATATTATGGGACACTAATTGTATATACATAGGGGTCACTGCATTAGAACTGTCTGGAATAATAACTACTGTTAATGAAAATCTTATTTAAAACTAACATCCGTGTTATAAATTAATATTAAAAACAGATTATGCAAAAAATTAAAAACTTAATTTTGAACTACAGTTTTCTTGCAGAACATTTCTTTGGTAACGTTCAGGTATTTTGATAGGTTTTAACATAATAAAAGCTATCTTATGTCTTAGAGAGGCTATCATTTTGCTGATCAGTAAAGAATTTAAAAACTGTAGGTTCCACTTCTACATCTTTTGTATGTTACTAACAAATTTTCTTATATATTATATTAAGACCTCTCTTTTCTTTAGTTATATACCAGTTGATCATGATCTATTGAAAATAATGATTTTATGATTATACTTCTTATTTTTAGACTTGTTTAGTTTTCTAACTTGGACCTTATTTCATCACCTATATTTACACAACAGATGACTGCTTGCCAAGATAATGTTTTGCTTATATGACTATAATGAGAGCTATTCTAACTTTTGAACAAAAGATGCAACAGCCATTTGGGCTGGGATAAGGTTGCCACTTTTTTAATTCCATTGATTATTGAACAAGTGAAAGTACATATTTATGTTTCTTTCTCTTGTGACTTGCTAGAATAAAGCATTCATGCATTTGTGTTCATAAATATGTAATATTTCTTTACTGAAAGTGAGCATGGAGAACAGAACAATCTTTTTTTCTAGTACACATTTTAAATGACACCTTTGTTTCACAGGAATTCCTCACTCGACCTTCTGCATTTCATCATTGGATGAATCAGCAGCTATGTTGCTAGTTTGAGTTATTCTAGAGAAGAGTTAAAGATCATGGCAAAAAGCAGTTGCAAAAACACATTAAAAGTTTTTTTAAAAAGAAAAGAGTGAGAGGAAAAAAAACCATCTAGGTTCTTTCATGGGACCAAATACATAGACGGGAAAGTTGCTTAAGTCTTTCGGTATTGCCATTCATGGGCAGTAAGGAGCCTCCTCCTTTTATCCCACAAGTTGGTGTAGAAGGAAACACTATTTCTAAACCATCTGTAGTGGCTAAGTTCAGTTGACTACCTGCTGTTCTATTGTTCGCTTTTCTATTTAATTCTCCTGTTTCTTTTATCTTACAATGACAAAAAATTGCAGTGTAGTTTCTTTTGAAAAACTGTGTTTGAGGGTTTTTTTTATGACTGACGATCAACAGCCATGTAATTGCTTTGTTGTGTTTTACTAAAGAAATCTGTTAAGTAGCACAACTTTGATACACTAGTAATAAGAGTTTGCAGGTTACAGAGACACCTGTGGTGACCAAAGGGACAGAAGCTGCTTATTAGAAAGAGCCTGTACAGCTGTGTCCTATTAACTCCTTATGACACTTCTTAAAACACAAAATAAAGGGCTTGTTTAAGGCTTTATAGCTATTCTCAATGAACCTAGTCACCAATTGTGCAGTGCGATAGGGCTTCATTTTTTGCTTTCTATTAACAACAAAGCAACTGTCATATTAACAGTGAGGTCAAAAAATAGTAAGGGGTAAACAGGGCATGCTGGCTCGAATTAGAATAATTTCTCAGTTGTGTTTAGTGTCATAGCCTGCTCCTTAGACCAATTTCTTCAGAGGGGGCATGATGCTTCCTTCTCCCGTTGGATAGCACCAATGCACTCTGGGCACTCCTATAGATAAATACTCAGTACCTCTGTTTAATTAGTGCCCTTCATTATGTGATGTAGGGATAGTGGTCCTGGAGCCTATTGTGTTCTATATCCTGTGAAGACAGTGCACATAGCTTTTTTTATTGGAATGGTGAGAAGACAAGGGCAACAACAGAAGGAATTGCTTTTTGCATGCTGGTGTAGCCCAAGAGCAACGTATTTGTGCTGTTACAATGGCATTAGGGGAAAAGCCCAGGTGGGAAGGCAGAGGAATCAGGCCCACTTTATTTACAGCAATCAATAGGGACACCTCAATGCCAGGAGTAAAAGGCAGGTTTTCAATCCGTAGCATGGCGTGAATGAATTCAAACAGATACAGATACTTTCCTCATATAAGCCAAAAATCTTGAATGTTCTGATATTTTTCTTGCTCTTTACTGTCCTCTTTCTGACCTCTATGGATGTCATTCTGTTCCAAAACCAATCTTAATAGTAGTTTCCATTTTTCTCATTAATGAAATGGGGGTCTATCCTGAACACTGTAGACCAAAAACAGCTCCAAAGTCTTGTCATTCTTCCTGATTTTTAATGTGTTTCTCAGCTGACACTTATGTAGGGACGTGCTTTGAATCTTGCATTACTGTACACTAGCACTTTTCATTTGAAATCTCTCCATCTTGTGCGTCAACGCCCATTGCAATAGAGTGAAGAGAGTTCTGCAGGGAGGACTAGAAGTAAAACACTGTGCAGGTGCCAGGGTAACAGTTAGTGGGAGTGCAAGAGCATAAGCATTACGACTTTAGGAGTCAGATTTTTTAAAAATTTCTAACTAAGTATTTGTCAAACTGAAGGAGAACTCTAGTTAATACAGTTAAGAGGATGTTTTGTTTTGGCTTCCACAGCTTTTAATTGCCTCTGACATAAGGTTTACAGGAAAGGGAACAATTATTTCGGGTAAGTGCTGCAAATTATGGAGAAAAAAAAAATAATTAACCTTCATTTAGGAAAATAACATAGTGTTTTTATAATACTGTTAAGGAATCTACATGAAAGCTTTATCATTTATAGTTTAGACTTAGTGAGCAACTTTGGAATATTCTTTTAATTTATGTTGTCCATGGTCAAAGGAGGAAAAAACCCCATGACACTACAGGTGTCTTTTACTTTCTTGTTATATTCCGCTCGATTTGGTGGGAATCATGAGCCTAAAACCCGCTGTTTCCTTTCCATTGCTTTCTGTGAAGGTTTACTACTGTGCCACTCCAAACAGCAGAAATACACTTATGGGAGGTGTCAGGGCAGTAGTGGTGTTTGACAGCAGTGGTGTTGGCAGTTCTGGCCCTACCTTTTGGTCCAAGCATGCGGCTGCAGCAGCTCACCAGCTGCATCAGGCCATCGCATGGGCTAAGCGATAACTCAGATTTCCAGAGAGGTTATAGGATGGACAAGCAGGAGAGCCAGACATGAGCAGCTATAGTTCTGGCACTTTCTGGCTTCAAAGAGTTGACTAAATACCATTTAATATAATTATGTGTGTGTGTATGGGAGGTGTTTACATGTGTATGCAAGCACTATTTTGTTAATTCATTAATATACAGTAATGTATTTATATCCAGGACAGATATATAGTGACTATATACATACATATATACTTGCACATGCACACATACCCTTACGTTTGTACACACAGCATTTACAAACATAGATTATGCATAATATTAACAGATTGCCAATGTACATAATGTTTGCCAAGCAAAGCAATGCCATAACCATAAAACAGTGATTGGAATGTCTGTAGCAGCTTTTTAGCTTTTGATATCATTGCCCTTGGGCACTGTATTTCAAGGTGTTGCCAACTTTTCTCAGCCCTGATGACAGGTACTTGTTAGTTTTAATGTTCAAATGATAGTTTTCCACTTTGCTTAAGCTTAGGAAAGAGTTAATTGACTAAAAAGCTTCTCAGCAGCAGGTTGTCTTCACCTGCAATTTCATCATCAGGCAATTAGCCATATTCACAGTTGCTGACCCTTAATACTAACCCACTGAATGATGCATGCCTGGATGAAGACCAGTTGACCATATTACTCCAGCTCCCCAATCGTATTTGATCCATCAGCAAATATATTGCAGGTGTGGGGTCTGTGAGAGCTGGACTTGGCGAGTTAATTTCTCTCTGCCTCTTCAGGAGTGACTGTAGACTCTGTATACGTTGCTTGCAAAACTGTCGGATGTGTTCTTTAGGCACTAAATCCTTAACAGGTTTCCCAGAACAGTGTGAAAACCTTTTCTATTGTATTTTGCAATATTTTATTTATTGTACTTTAATAGCAATACAGTGCCAGTCAATAAAAGCAGGTCAAAAGTCTAATTAATGTTTTAAAAATAGAGGTTCTCAAACACCAGGCAAGTTTGTAATTTTCTGTATGGTTTGTTTTGAGGAGTAAGAGGAAAGAAGGTGAGGAGGGAACCCTTCTGTTCCGTGATTACATCCCACCCGCTCATTTTCTCCTTTTCTCCTTTGCTTTTGATTTTAGTGGCGGTCTTAACAGAATGTCAAGATCAATTTGCAGCATGGTTTAACTCAAGGTTTGCATTCTGCCAGCAGCGATTGTCCTAACGAACAATGCCGTGTGTTCTTGTAACTTCAGAAGCTTTTAGAGGGCTCATGGCAAGGGCAGCATCTAATGACTTTATTAGTGTAGGGTTTCAAAATGGGCTCAATAATTGTTCGCATGTCTTTGTCATCTAGTCATAATTACTGCATATTATTGTTCAGGGTTGCGCTTGTGAATAGTTTCCTAATAGCACTGAAACGAAGAAAAAAGGAAAAGACTAAAAGGTGATTGTGTCTTTAGATGGAGAACAAATCTGCCTGTATATAGATGATGGTTAAACTGTTTATTATATACCCACCAGAAAAGGTAAACTATCCATACTTAAATATTTATGTGCTTCAAGGTAGTTTCATGTTAGTAGTCTAAAAATGTCCAAATTTGGAAAACTAAAA